TGGCTGCAAATTTAACCACAAATTGATAGACACCCCTCAGAATATACATATACATATCTAGACCGACAGTAATTTACAAATATAATGCAAAGTGATAGATACTAAACTATCTGCAGCGAGTCAGCTTGTATATTTTCATTTGTGTTCAACAGAGTACGAAGTGCCAAGGTTGGGGCAGGTTCTGATCAAGTGACATTAGCTAATGTCACTTTATCATATTATCATATTAACCCCCAAACTTAACCAGAATAGTTTGCAGTTGCTGAGTCTAAGTTGTCTATAAAACTAGGTTTAAATTTTACTTTTGCTTTTAATTCAATTAAATTCGTTTATTAGCTATTAAATATGTAAAAAATGTTAGACCTGGAGTACACTCAGGAAAGTGCTTATATAGAGAATCATTTTCCTACTGAGAAGCGAGAAACTTTGTCAATATTTGCGATGTTATGAGTTTCATTTTTTAAGTTATTTCAAGTGTAGGCAAATTATAAGAGTTAATTCGTGTATAGAAAAACTAAAATATTTTTAAACTAAATTGTAAAATTGTTAAAGCAAATTATAATCGTGAAAAATTAATACATGCCTTGCACAAATTACAATATAAAGTTTTATATTGTAAGTTTAAATGTACACAAAGATGAGAAAAATATTTTTAACCGATTTCAGCAAGAGCCAGAAAATAAAACAGATAATAAAAATAAACAGATAAGTAGGATTTCTTATGGAAGAAATATTTTTGAAACTTTGAAATACACAATTATTTGTGTAATAGGCACTTGATTCGATTGGAATTTGAGTAGTACCTAATAGAGTAGGATATTGTATAAAGAAGAGTTACGTACGTATACGTATTAAAAATTATAAATTCATCGATTCAATTCATAATTGAGCAAATGAGTCAGTAGCAATTATTTTTGTTTCCATTGATCAAAGCGAGCTGAATATGATATATAACTGTTTAACACGTGTATTTAATAAACATATCAGTCACTGAGCGGAACCTGATGCCGCCAATGAAAATACAAAGGCTTGGAAGAGTTACAAGTGCAGCTTATTTACAATAGGCTCTATACAAATTTAATTGATGCGCCATTCAACACTCAAATTGATATCCAGACTGAGATTCAGATACAGCTGACCACAAACAAATAAATATAATATGGCATTGTGGCATTGTGGCATTGTGGCAACCGCAGCGGCATAGACTTGACTCGACAGATTTCGAGGCAACAACGCAATTTGCATTTTTTGTCGCCGCATTCGCTGTGAGTACTTACTTATATTTACTATATCTTTGCACTTGCAGTTCTATGTGAGATTCAGCCGTACGTTGCTTCCTGACCTATGCAATTGAATTTGTATATATTTAGCGGCCCGTTAATTCTCATTAAATGCATCTCAAACTGAAAAGCTCTACAGTTCTGAGTGCCCTATTAACATTTGTTTACACTGTCGAGTTTTTTTTCTTGGCACGTGTGACAAACAGTTCAGAGCGTAAGCTACTTTAAGCTAAAAAACCGATTAAAACAATTAAGTGTTTTGTGTTGACAAACTTATTTCAATCGGTTTATAATTAGCACGCTGATTGAGAGAAGAAAAGGTTTGCAGCAACAGGTGCTGCTCAAACTGTGGCAACTATTGCTCATTAGCTGAGAAAATCTTTACAAAAGCTGCTGCCGTGTGCTATACAGTTGTGCCTTTGTATATGTATTTGTACTTTTGCCATTGTTCGTCTGCCGCCTTTTGGTTCTAGTAGAGTTCCCTATCGACAGCTAGATTAACAGCTCGAGTACTTACTGCCTCTACATATTGAATATACTACTTGTACTTGTGCCATTGTCCATCGTTTGTAATCTTAATAAGTCTGCGCGCGATTAAGCAATGAGTTTTATTTTTATTTCTTTTCTTTCTCTAATTGGAAAGCTGGAAAACAGCTGGCAGTTGTGTTAAAACCTTGTGTCAATTTGACTTGTTGTTTGCCTAACAGTAACTCACTCTTGCAGTATGTCCTGACGCGTGGCTGTAAGGATGTGGGCGAGCTGTTTGGGGCACGGATACGACACGTGGCACGTTGATGCGAAACTGTGAATGGATGCGAATGCGATCTAAATACAAAAAATGCGCTTGTGTACCGTTACTCGCCAACGCTTGATTACGACTGTGCGCGGCCCTCTCTGGCGGACGGGCAACTAACAGGGCTGCCGATGCCGCTGCCCCGACTTCGACTACGGCGTTTGTGTTCCTACTACGAGCTGTTCGGGCGGGCTGCTGCTGCTGATGATGAATGTTTGACGTGCGCCAGTACCTATGTACATATTTAAGTGTGTGTATGTATGTATGTATGCACATGAATATGCGCTCAATGAGTATTTGTGAGTGTATGTGTGTGTGTGTGTGCTAGCGTTAATTTGCGCTTCAGTTATTTGTCATTGAAATTTGAATTAAACTGCATTAAGTTTCAAGTCAATGCATGCACAACTGTAGCCCACAAGCTGTTCACAAAAAGCACAGCTTAGGCGCCCAAAGCAGTTCACAGTGTAAAGCTATTCAAACTGTAGCTCAAAGCTGCGTTAACATGCAAAGTCCTGTCATACTCAAGCTGTATATATCAGAGCTTCAAAGCAGTTAAACCTCTGATCAGTTCAGCCCAAACTGTATGACAAATGCAAGCAATATTAGTTTAAAATTTTTATTTAGCTTTAGCTTTATATCAAAAGCAAAAATTGCATTTGTAATCGTTGTTGTTCGGCAATCTAGAGCAATTTTACAGCGCCTTATCAACTGAACGTCCGATCCGACGCATATTACACATACCCAAGTACATAGCATGTATTTGGTTCGCTTTGTATATAAGCTACAAACCCATAATTTTGAGTGCATTTTGTATTTGAAAGGTGTATGTCGAAAAGTAAACAAATCATAAAAACGAACGATTTTGATAACAAATTGTCCAGGCCTTATCAATGCGGCTAATCGAAGTGATTAGCACTAAGTGAACATATATGAACTTACATGCGTACATACGTTGTAGTTCAATTTATTCACATGTTCGACTGTAAGTAGTCCTCTGGCATTCAGCAATTTTGCATATCGCTCGCCAATTGAGACAAGTTATCCACATATGTACATATATGAAAAAGCAATCACCACCCACGACGCTGGAAATGAGATTGGCACCGGCTGAGGCAATAAAACAATCAAATGTCGTTGCACTAAGCGACGTATTCGGCTTCTCTTATTGGATTATGCGAGAGTACGTGGTGACCAAATGTCGTGTCTATATGGATTACTAGTGCCACATATTAGTGGTGAATGGCGCCAAAGCCTGTCCACGATTATGCTTCACTGTGGCAATTAGATAGCGTGCGCCTTTCAAGCGAAATGCAAACTACAAACAAGTCAAAGTAGGACAACAGAGTTTGTCTCTCTCACACTTAACGGTTGGCGTTTTGAATTGTTGCTGCGCTGCCAGCTGCTGTTATGTCGCGTGCTGTGCACCGTTTTGGGGGACTGCTTGCTGACACTGCTTGCTACCAGCAGTATGTGCTTATCTTTGGTGAAAGTTGGCAACGCCGCCCAATGGGCATGGCAATGTGTCCGTTATATTTGAAAGTTGTTCAACGGAATAAGCATTATTTGCATGTCATTTTTATTTTATTGAACAATTCTGATAACAAGTTCTTTTAATATTATTGATTTTACAATACTTTACAAAAACGGCTCCAACCAGTAGTCGAGTTATATATAGTCCGTAATATTGTTAGATTCAGAATCTTCAACGTGATGAGTGGAACGAAACTGTATAAGTATAATGAGGTAGCAAGTGGCAGCGCCAGTTATCTAAAGAGAGAAGGGAAAATCAATCAGTGAGGAAATATTGAGCGATACTCCAATACGAACCGTAAATATCAGTGTGCGATCCAATCGAAATAGTCCTGCGGCAGTGAATCTCACCTTCCTGTGGGACAGCTGCAGGGACAGGCGAAATAGGCGGTCCCGCAGCTCCGTTTCATCGGTTAGGTTGAGAATCTTGTGGACAATGGCTGCGCTGAAGCTGCTATGTCGGATGGTGCTGCTGCTGGCCTCCACGATCAGAAATATGATGACAATGTACCACATCATTTGGGTCAGAAAGAAGGCAAAGAACTCGTCAGCCTCAAAGTAATCCAAGCGCTTCGGATTCAACAGTGCCTCCAGTATGTAAAAGTCGTCAAAGAGTATAAACAAAAATGATATAGCTATAATGCCGAGCAGCGGATACGTGAAGTACTCCTCGATAGTATGGCAAATGTCGCACAGCAGATTGTGTATGTTGGCCACCTGCTTGATGGCGTACTCTGGATTCTGACGTATAATCGAGGTAACACTGTAGCGCTGCATTGGTGTGCTGATCAAATTGCGTAGCCGATGCGCATAGCGCTGATGATTCACTACCGAGTGCATTGGCGAGAGCTCCAAAGCGCTGTTCAGTTCAATGTGGGCATCCAGAATATCCTGTAAAATCTATATACAATTTTTAATCAGTTAACGTTTCCATGTTAAACTATAATTATCCCTGAAAACCTTAAAATGTTAATTTAATTTAAATTTAGTTTAATCAGTAGTTATATAACCTTTTTCATCCATTACATTATTTAAATGAACATTTTGATATTTCTTTCCTTCTGGTACAGCGCGCCGCTCGTGTTATTTAACAGCGGCAGTGTTCAATTCTTCAGTTAACATCATGTTAATGGCATAAGCTTAACAGTTTAGCGATTTATACTTAACAGCTTACAGAAGCTATTTCACGGCCTTGGCCGTGGTAAGATTTGTGCTTCAAATTTTAGATATAACTTTTTTACATATTTTTCGCCCGTTCTATATAGCCAGTCAGTCAGTCAGGACAAACAATTTTTTATGTAGAGATTAGAATTTCTGTTACGTAATGCTAGCTTGTCAGATGTTGCTAATGGTTTATTTATGCAGTTTAGTAACACCTGTTATAAATCTGAAAAGATCTTGTATTTAAAGCAGTTGCAAGGGGAACTTCTTAACGGCATAAAATGAAATTCACGATTGCAGTTTTTTTGGCTTGTGGCCTCTTAGAAATTGTCTTGGGTCAGCAGCCCCGTAAGAATTGAAATATTGGATACGTATTACTCCCTATAAACCTGTTTTTTTTTTTAGCTAGCTGTTTTCAGGCACCTTCAGAGCATGGACTATGCTACGAAGGTACTGACCTGTGGAGCTACTATCCCCAACTAAATCAGTGCAAGGTATTCACTTACAATGGTTGCTTGGGAAACGATAACAGGTTCGCATCCCGTGAGATCTGCGAGAGAACGTGTAAGCAATAGAACCGAAAGAATATTGTGTCCGCATTTATATAGATCCGAACCAGTTTTGTATCTTAAGACTGGCAAGTCTTCGTCTTTTAATTTCATTTTACATAATAAAACGTAACGATTTCAATTGCTTATTTCTTTTATTACCTTTCCACAAACTATGCGCCCGTGGAAAGTTCAAATATACCCATCTTGATCTCTCCTTTTTTTTCAAAAATATATATTAAGTGCATCGATAAAAGAACCAAGTGTTGAACGTATCAAATAAATTCTCACAAATATCTTTGGAAATGATTTTGAAACCAAAATCGCTATCTGCGAGAGAAGGTGCAAGATCAAAAACCCAAAAAATAATGTGTTCGCATTTATATATTTCCAGATTACTTTTATACGTTAAGACTGGCAAGTCTTACGCTCTTACTATCATTCTACATAATAAAGCGTAACATTATTTCATTAAAAACATTTTCAAGCCCTTCTTTTGTACTCACTGACTTGTTTATTTCATTAAGAAATCGAGTAAAAAAGTTTTTTTTATGAAATCGTCATATTTATAGTTTGATCCAAAATTAAATATCGTGGCCTATGGATTTTCCAAGAAGTGCGAAACATCCATCAGATGAATTTTGACAAAGATCCTTGACAATGTTTTTGAGGCCAATCAGATGGTAAGCAAATAAGTTTCATACAAACGTTGGGCTGTGAGTTGACCACCAAACAGTAGGTCAATAAGTCAGTCAGTCAGTCAGTCAGTCAGTCAGTCAGTCAGTCAGCCAGTCAATCAGTCAGTCAGTCAGTCAGCACAAACAGTTTTATATATAGATATTCGGGGTTACGGTTGGATTTCCTCTAAATTAAAATTCTTTTATTAATGTAGCTTGTCAGATGTTGCTAATGGTTTTCTTATGCAGTTTAGTTACGGTTGATTTAACTCTTTTGGATTTTGTATTTAAATGAGCTGCGAAGAGAACTTGTACTTCTTAACGGCATAAAATGAAATTCACGTTTGCAGTTTTTTTGGCGTGTGGCCTCTTAGACATTGTCTTTGGTGGATGGCAGGACCGTAAGAAATGGAGTATTGTCTATGTTATACTTTCTGTAATTCTGTTTTTTTTTTTCTTTTAGGTCGCTGTTTCGAGCGTCCTGCACAGAATGGACCATGTTACGGGGGCGAAGACAGGTGGACCTACTATCTCCAAATGAATCAGTGCAAGGTATTCACTTACAATGGTTGCTTGGGAAACGGTAATAGTTTCAGATCTCGTCGAGAATGCGAGAATTATTGTAGGGTCTAAAACCAAAAGTAATGTGTTCGCATTGATATAGATCCAGATAACTTTTATATCTTAAGACTGGCAAGTCTTTGTCTTTTACTATAATTCTTCATAATCAAGCGTAACATTATTTCATTAAAACTATTTCAAGCTCTTTTTTTGTACTCACTGACGTGTTATTTCATGAAGAATTCGAGTAAAATAGTTTTAAAGTAAAGATATTGATAAGCAACAACTAAAAAGGGAACACGAATCTGGCAGAGATAATCAAGAACAGAATGGGTTGCACATTCTTTAAAACTCTGTTGCGTGATTAACTAGCTTGCTTTATTATTTAGTTATTTCGACTACTTACCTCATTCACCATACTAAAACGGCTCTGGGCCAAGTGGGTGGTGCACAGGAACTTGAAGACCATGAGACTGATGTTGATGTGGGGCAGGGCAAACGCCGTAAAGGTGACAAAGGACGGTGAGATGGTGGCACTGACCAACAATCCATAGCTGACACACAGATAAATAACATTAAAGATGACAATGCCCAGCGAGATGAGAAAGGTGAAGAGAAGAATTCTTCGATAGTCCAGCTTCATGCCCAGCCGCACAAAGATATCGTCCACAATGATGTTGTTTTGTATGATGCTGACCAGTCGCCGGCGCTTGAACATGGCAAATCCAAAGATTGTGGACATTGCAATTATTCCCGTTAGTCGCAAGGTGCCATCGCCCAGTTTGGTGATGTTCGTCTGAAAAAAGTAGCCAATGATGGAGTCCCCCTCGGATATGGATGCCACAAAGCACACCACAAAGAACAAATAGTGTACAATTCCGGCGATAAAGGAGTACGTTGAGGTGTGCACTTCCTTGTCCGCATTTAGGTTCAATCGAAACGGCGCCAGCCCCACCAACGATATGTACGTGAGCGGGCGCAGCGATTGGAACACATTATCCGCCTGTGACATGCGCTCCAAGAGCTTCAAAGCCATATCCAACCCAGTACCGTTTTAGGTTATCGGGAAATCGGGAATTCACGTTTGCTCGTCTCGCACGCTCGCCGCCAACTGAATGCGCAAATGTTGGCCACAGTCATCAGGCTCGCAGCTCATGTGTCAGAATCGTTAGCGCACCTGGGGCAGAAGTCGTTTGGACGGCTGGACGGCATAATAAGCTAATACCAATAGCGGTAAATATTTAATTAAGCTTCAATGTGTAGCATAACGCTAGGCGCAGACCGGGGCACAAGTGCAACAAGTTATTTACGAGATATTTTAATGCCCATACCGGCAACACATACCGAATTTCATGACTGAAATGGGGTAAACAATTAGAGTAACTAATGTGGGCGGTTCAAGTGGTTTACGAGGATTAAAAGCGGTCCTTAACCTTTTTGTACGCGTTTATTTTATATTTTTATACATTTTATTGTTATTATTCTTATTATTATTTATAATATTACTATTATTATAATTATAGTTATTATTATTAATATTATTATTGATAATATTATTATTATTATTATTATTATTATTATTATTGTTGTTATTATTATTATTGTTATTATTATTATTCCTATTATTATTATTATTGTCCTGAACCCATTGAAATTGGGTAAAAAATATAATGTTTTTATTATTATTATTATAGCCCTCGGTAATACATTAGCCTTTGGACAAAACAATAGCCAAGAATTCTAGCGTGGATCCTCGTTTATTCCATACTACAATACCACTCAAGCTAAATTTATATATTATAACTGGAGTATTTTTTATTTATTTATTTAATTTGTTCGATGAGAGCCTAAAATTCTACGTAGGGTGCGCGAATAAAAGAATAATATGTATATATTTTTTCTACAACACGCATGTGAAGACCACAAGATTATATAGTTTATATATTCTATTTCTGTTTAAATTTGGAAAAATATGTCCAATGTGAATTGTTAAATTATTGCCTTAAATTACTTTTTTTCTCCTGAATTATCAAGCAGTATCTAAACATGTTCAATGGAAGCTAAAAAACAAAATTAATCGCTTTCCCTTGTATAAAATGTTAAAATGTATTTTAAAATGTTGAACGCATTAAATAATGCATTTCCATTACTTAACAACATATTCTTTAATTAATTTTTTATGTTTCTGCGTAAAATAGTTTTGAGTTCGTTTTACTTAAACATGGCATAGATTCGTCTTTGTGCTGCAGGCAGAATATATATCAACTGGATCGCATCTCAATATTATATTAGGTGCGCATAGGGACTATCATTCGAAATCAATTTATGAACATTCTTGTTTTTAAAAATATAGTGACTAAGCTAAGCAATTACGCGCTTCACTGCGTTTTTAACTAGAGTATGAGTGAAATCTTATAAATATTTGATTATTGTATTATATAGAACAATCGGCTGCATATAAATCGATTTGAGAAATCAGCCATATGTCAGCAAGGGGTATTTTACCTTTGGCACCCCACAAGTTCACTTTGCATTCCATGGATTTATTCTCCTTTTACCTATAATTGTGTTTTTATTTTAATTTTCGGTGCCAACCTCCTTATAAAAGTTTGCGGCGTTGCTCGCATTGTGAAGTACAATAAACTTCTGGGACATAATGAAATTATAATGTTTTTATTTTTTCGTATTCGTATTTTGCCATTTCTCATTTTCACAATCAAGTTATTAATTTCTCTGATGCTTATCATTTTATTGCTAATAATAAATCTATGAAAAATACATTGACAATGCATGCAAAAGCAACAACATCTAAGAAAACCACTTAATATTATTTGCCGCACACCGTTGGACGTTAAATATACATGTATTTTCACCATCTCCAGATTCAGCTCCAAGCACTTCTCGCTAACCAACTAAATTGTGCGGTTCGTCATATTATGATACGCTTCACAACAGTCGAATCCGTTGCCATTGTCATTGCTCGGTGAATTCGAGGTGAACTGCAGCAAAATGATGAGATACGTGGTCAAAGCTCCGCTAATCTGGAAAAATTAAATGGGATTATTAACTAAAGCCAATTTAAAATGATGTAGTCGAAAGTAATTGAGTACGAGTTTGTAATGAGGCACGACGGAGAAATAAGGCTTCCTAATAGGACTTAATATGTCTCACATTAACTGGTTACAGCTTGAGATCGACCAGCCGCAAGGACTCACCGTAAAGTAGAGTGTACGATCAATGTTAAAGAGTCCTGCCGCTGTAAAATTGATCTTCAGATGCATTAATTGCATGGAGAACTGCTGCAGCTTGTCCCTGACCTCCGGGCTCTTCGTCTTGTTTAGCAGCGAGTGCACAATGCCGCCAGTTTTTTCACTCTTCTTGATGGCCCGATTGCTGCCCTCAACAATCGAAATGATCGCAATCAAATACAATATCATTTGGCATGAGAAGAACGTAACAAATTCCACGGTCTTGAATTTGCTCTCCCGCTTCGATTTGCCCAGCAAGGTCTCAAGCACATAGTAGGCATCAAAGACGATGATCAAGAAGGCAATTGAAATGATCGTGAGCAGCTGATAGGTAAAGTATTTGTTCGCGGTGGCAGCTGCCTCACAGATCAACTGATGAATCTCCATGGACTCCTGTATGATCTCGACCGGATCCTTGGTGACAATTGTGTACATCGAAAAGGAGTCCAAGCACTGCAGCGAGCGTTGCTTCTGGACGGCCTTGATGCTGCGTGTGTCCCACTGATGAGCGAGATTCTTAAGGACCTGCAAGCATATAGAAGGATTCGTTAAGTAGGCCATAGATGCGATATAAAGGCAATGTGACCTCATTCAATGCACTGAAGTAAATGCGTAGCTTGATAAACAGCCCACTCACGAGTATGCTAACTATGCAAACTATGAAATTTGGCGAGAAGTAGCTGACACGCGCGGAGAAGGATACATATGTATTTGCAATCGGGAAAATCGAGCTAAGGCTATAGCCAACAAAGGCGAGCAGTGTGCACAACTGAAAGGCAGTCGACCCAGCGATTTCCCTGGCCGCTTGGATCTGGGCAAAGCTAATGCCGACACGCGGAAATGCCTCGCGCTCCAGGCCATCGAACAGGGCCAGCAACTGCACCAGCTCCTGACGTCGCCGCAGCGAGGCGATCAGCACTGCCATAATCCCAGCCATGCCATTGAACATCTCCAGATCTGCGGTGAACTTGGACACATTCGTCAAGGCCAGGCTAACCATTAGAGTGCGCCGTTCCAAGCAGCTGTAGATGAAATTCAGCGGAAAGAAAATCATGCGTCCAATGACGTTGGCCAAACCGAACCAGGACAGTCTTAGTTGTCCCGCTGAACTGTCCACATGATATGGCACGATGCCAAATAACCGAGCCAGAAAAAAAGTCAGTCGGTAGCAGCCGTAGACATTGGCCGGGTGCACTAGTCTGTCCAAACAGTCCGGAAGCCTCATGGCGTATAAAAAACATATTCAATTGTACTCTGAGCGCAATGCGTTTTATTCTATAGTCTCTAGATTGAGATTGTGGATCATTAATTAATTAGAGCGCCGGCACCGAACATCTTGACAAGGTTGACATGTTGGATCAAGTGAAGATAACTTGCTTTTTAAAACAAACACAGCCAGTCTGCCGCGGCAAATTAAATTCAAGGTGAAAAATGATTTTCAAATAAGTAAAAGAATTCAAATTTTATACGCATGCATATATCGGAAATTCTAGAGCTAGTCACAAAACAGTATTTTTATGCGTAACTCAATATTTGGCCATGTATCCCATAGTGTTCTATGTATTTTTAATTTAGAAGTCTGATTTAAATTATGTTTTTATGATCGAGCTAGTTTTTCGTAGGAAAATTCAATTATCGACTGTAGTTCCCATATGGGTTTAACGCACATATTGAAATATTTTGTCAAAAAATCTTAAAAAAAGAAATATTCATTTATTCATATTTGTATATTATCCTTATTTTAAATATGACTGCATAGTTGGTTTTCTTTGTTTTAATTTTTTTCAAAATGAAACTTTCAACATTAATATTTGAGTACAAAATATTTATAATTGCAATATAAATCATTGTATATTTTAAAACATTTTAATGAGATTAATCAATGTTAAATTGGTAAAGAAAATATGGCACGACATACATAAGTGTATGCTACATTTGATACCTTTGATATCGTTGCTTTAAATTCGGATCATTTAAAAAAATGAATGAAATGCGATTTCGAAGGAGTGCGTTTGGCAGTCTTGATATCAACAGATGAGGCTGTTAAAATTGACTACTGCCGAAATGGATGAAAGACCTCCTTGCCCGCTTACCTGGTTTAGTGCGTCAAAATGTTGCCAGCAGCGATGAAGAATAGCTCCAAAGAGCAGGACAATGCTGAGCAGAAATACTTGAGGCACATAGAAGGCAACAGCGACCGGGTAGCTGGGCCTCACATCATTGAAGAGCAGCATGCAAATGGAGCTGGCCAAATAGGCCAACTGGACGACACAGATGAGGAATAGTTGTGTGTGCCGCAGACTCATAATTTTGCCATAATTAAAGCAGATGCCCACATTGAGCAGGTGGTCATCAATTTGGGCGATCAGATCACAGAGCCGAATTAGAAGACGCACACGTAGCCCACAGCACAGGAAGAGTGTGAACATGCCGGTCATGCCAATGAATTTCTGCAGCGAGTCTCCCACCTGAGAGATCGGCGAATTGAAGAAATAGCCCACAATGCTCTGCTGCTGGATGAGGGCATCGAGAAAGCAATAGCCAAAGAAGCTCAACTGCAGCAGAGCATTCAGATAGCCGATGCGACTCAGCTGAAAATGGCGACCGGCGGCCGCCTGGCCCTTGAGCCGGAAGGGCGTCAGACCCAGCAGATAGGTGAACAGGAACAGCGTCTGCTCAGCGCCATAAGCATCGCGTGGACTGAACAGCTGCCTCCAAATTGGCCACATGACGCAAAAAATAAAAACTGATTTGGACAACGGATGTGTGGCACCTTTTATACTTTTATGCTGTGTATACTGATAGCTGTCCACATGACTAATTGATAGAGTTTAAAGCCTTGAACTTCGTTCGCTCATTTTGAGGTGCTGTCAGGAGCCGCGTAATGGGAAACCTGTCCTCCCAGCCAGACACGTAGCTTTCATATTATTTCATGGCACTTTAATTTTGTTGTTTGTTTTCGTTATGAAATTATAAAGTGCGAGCGGTGGCTAAAATAAACGTTTATGGCTGGCACATTGTGGGTTGAGTTAATTAATTTAATTGAATTTGGTGCCAATAATTGGCTCTGACACTAGCTAGAGTAAGGCACTAAGGACTATATTTTCTGTCTGCCAGTCGAACATAACTAGAGTATAGAGCTTTAAGGACTTACTGAAACATGCAATGCTATTATGTTTTTTTTCTAACTGCTCCCATGGGTGGTATCAAAATTGTCGTGGAACGAGTCATTAATATGGATAAACAATGGAAAAATCGGCCAGCTTGAATCTATATGTGTAAAGCGAGTTATTAGCTTTAAAGGTATTCCCAAGACCCAAAAAGTACTTTCTAGAACTAAATAATGACAAATAATTACTAGTTTATGGAAAATACATTGTGTTAAATGTTTCTTTCAGAGTTAACTGGAATTTCTCTTCATTTAAGGAGCACAGAACTGGATATGTCGAAGCTAGTTCAAGGATTTATCAAATTCAGGTTAGTCACACATTTTTAAGAAGAAAAAATAATATTTATATATTTGAAAATATTATTTAAGACTTTTCTTTATCTATCTTTTTAGCTTTCTAAATTAATTTAAAGAGATGGGCCCAAGTTAAAAAGTCAAAATAAAAAATAACATTTTTCTATCGTCCTTCTTTGAAATTAAAAGTAATTAAATTGCTGTATTCACTATTGTTTTAATATTTGGAAATTGTTCAACTAGCTTCTAAAAACCCCTTGATATATTTTTATACCTCGTATTACATAACCCCTCATAGAGCAGAACCCCTCTTACCTTACCTTGTTAACCATGACGAGCCGCATTTCCACCAAATATGTGAAGCAAGAGAACATGGTAATGGCCATTGCAATGACTGTGTGCTGGATCATAAATGTAAAATGCAATGCCAGACTTGGAGTCTCATTGGATGAGTACAACACGCCGAAGGTGCCCCACGAGAAGCCGAAGTTCACAACAAACATGGAGATCATGACCGCATAGCTATACCGGAGCACCTTGCTATACATAATCTTGACGCCAACGCTGTGCAGCTGAAGGTCCATGGTATGGAACGTTTGCAGGCACTGCTCCAAACGGTGTTTGGGTATGATGGCCGTCAGATAGATGACAGTGACGCCAATGAAGCCACTCACGATCTGCATAATGTCGCCAAAATAGGTGATGTTTGAGCGAAAGAAATAGCTGGCCACGGACTCGCAGTTGTTGTTTATGGTCAGAATGTAGCAGACGGAATATACCATGATATGCACAATGCCATTTATATATCCGAACCAGGACTTCTTGATGTCCCTCTGCCCAGAAGCATCCTGGCAGCTGATGTAAAACGAGGTCAGTCCATACAAATAGGTTACACGGAAGAGCGGACGCAGACACTCGTACAGCTGCTTGGCGGACAGCAAACGGCGTACGCGACGGCGCAACGGATGTTGCAGCACGGTATTTAGCTCGATTTCTACACCGATATCCTTCTCGGGGTCCATGCCGTCCTTGTCGTGGTCTGTACAGCTGGAGCCTTACGCGGCAACTGAACACAAGAAACGCAAAAAATTTGCATGTTGCCGGCGTCGGCGCCGGCGCCGTCTCTGTTTAATGAGGCGGGGCCACAATTCATTCATTTCATTCTCGTTGGCTTTAAGTAAATAATTTTAGCATTTTTATGCCGCTTGTCAACGAGTACGGATACGAAAACGAATACAAATACGAATACGAATATGAGCATGAGTGTGAGTGTGTCGACCATTTAGCTATTAGCTTAAACTGCTGCATTTTAATTAATGCCCGTTTACAGGTGACTGCTAACTCCTCCCTAGGGGTCCCACTTACCGCAGGACTCTAATTAGTTGTGCGATTTACCCGCATTTCACTAGGTCACATTTTTTTTGTTCTCAGTGTCTGTCTACGCTAAGCTCCCTGGGGAATTGGACTCAATGAATGACTAATAAGAAATTGGAATATTTCTAAAGAACATAATATAATAGACAAAATGCTGAGCATTCGTGGGCGAAATTGATTTGAGTACTTATATGCCTACAACAACTCTTGTCCAGACTGATTCAATGACCGACCCACTGATAAAGTGGGCACATTAAAAAATAATAAAAATGTTTTTCACACGTTTTAAAAGATAGCGAAAATGGTGCGAAAAGTTGTTGCTGACAACCATTTGTTTTCCACCCGATCGATTTCAATACCATATTAAAACATCATCTTGTAAGTATGTGTGTATGCTTGTACGTATTTATATGTGTATGTATGTATTAGAGTATGCATGTCTGTTTGTGTATTTGTATGTAAGTTTATATATGTGTGTATATATGCATACATTCTTTTTTTTTACCCAACACTGACAAACAGACAATAAGAAAATGTATATTATATATCGCCCTACTATGCGATTCTCAAGAATTCAAATAAAAGTTAGTGCCCAATATATATTTATTAAATATGTATATGTACGTATGTTCTCTCACACCATGTTCTTTTTCTGCTGCTTTATCTATCTCCTTCTCATCTATTGTATTTCTCTTTCTTTATCCTGCTTTAATCCCAACCCGCCCCTTTGTTCTTTTAGTGATGGGTTTATAAAATTCTCCATCTTACTTATGCAAAATTCCTGTGTGACTACGTAATTTTGTCGAATACGTATGTATGCAAATTGATAAAAAATATCCTGATGTGTTCCGCTATTTCAACTTAAAATAAAAAAGAACGTTAAGTTTATAATCTTTAATCAGGTTACCTGTGTTAAATATGTTAACATATATATAAATAAGCAAATGGTCTCATACCACAAGAACATTTTAACCAACTTTTTAGTATCATTTGGCTTAGTTATTGTACTCCATTCTCATAAATACTTATTACTAAAGCCCAATGATGTTTATGGTTGCCCTGAATGAGCTCCAATATGTTCGCATGAATTTATGTTGATTGCTCAGCGGGAAATTAGCAAAATGGTTTGTTGACATCTTAGTATAAAAGGCTGTAAACGACGGGAAGGATTTGCTAGGTTGCCTTCGAGAGCTTTGAGAGGACAACGGCTGAACAGGGCGAAAAGGCTTATCGAATAATATTATGGAAGTACAATAAAAGGCAGCGAAAAGTATAGAATAGTTGTAGCTTCCGTGTCAATTATGATTGCTATAAAAATTATGTGAGTGGCAAAAAATTATTGCTCTTTGTTGTAAATAATGCTTGGTATAGTACGAAGAAGCAGCATGTGATGCTTGTAAAAGTAAACAGAATGTTTATGACGATCTTAAAGGCGAGGGCTTTCCAGTTACGTGGAAACACCCATTTACTTTACGGTCAGTAAATGAGTTTGTTTACCTTTTTGGTGTCATCATAACAACTCAGACACTGAAATGTTTTCCATAATATTTTCCCACACAAATTATTTTTAGAGTAAGTCAAATTTGCATATCCTTTCAGAGAGCATAATTTTGTAAAGAAAGTGTGAATCACAGAATGCAACTCCTTAATCTCCAATCCTTTAAAGTGGGTAAACATGCTTAGAAATTTAAAGTTCTTTATAACAATCAAATAGTTAATGTCGAACTTACTGCAGAAAATAAATTTGTTATTAACAGCTGCCCGTTGTACTGAAAATATTGCAAGCCATAAATATTTTCATCTACAAGATGCGGGCTATATTTTAGCTCTACCTTAAAAAATTTAAAAATACACCTATAAAATATATGCAAAATAATGTAAGAGATAAAAAATGTAAATAAACAAATATTGTTTACTTATTAAAAGCAGGAATACCAAGCTTTTGTTTAAAAAGGGTTTTCACACTTGATTTTGACATAAACTTATAAAATTGTTTTCCCCCAACACGTGACAAGGCAACAATCCCATCCCCAATTTGTATATAATTAAATTTATTTAGGTAAGCACAAATAAGCGAAGCGAAAACAACAAGTTAACTAAAGTGGAGTCAACAAATATTTGGATTAAAATTAATTAATTTCACACTTAATTTGTGGTTGAGTAATAAAATTTGCTCCCTTAGGGTTGGCTGCCAACAATTTGACAGACAGAAATAGTCCGCGCTGGCTTCACTATTTGCCTAGACCCTTCAACCCAATCCACAAAGCGCGGGTCAATCACCTTGAAGAAACTTACCTGATTTACGATACTCAAACGTCGCTCGAAACTGAAGGCAATTATACAGAACAAACAAATGGCAATGGAGACCACCGAATGTTGCAGGAAGAAGGTCATGCAGACGCAGAAGGAGGGCGTAACGCCTAACGAGACGAGCAGCTGGAACACGCCCACAAAATAAACGCCCAGAATGAGCAGCTTGAAGACGAGCAACAAAATCGAGTAACGAAAGATCCTCGAGTATTTCACGCGGATCCCAATGTTCGAGAAGTTCGTATCGAGGCTATGGAGAATTGTTAATGTGCCCAGCAGCTTGCAACGCTTCAATATTGCCGATGCGTAGATCACGGCGCCCGCAATGAGTCCATTGAAGATCTGCAAACGATCGCCAATTGTTGAAATCTCAGTGCGAAAAAAGTAACCGACAATTGACTCGCCCTGGCGCAGCGATGAGATGTAGCAGAAGCCGCACAGCACGATGTAAACAAAAATGTTGAAGATGCCAAAGCAGGACATCTTCAGATACGATTCGCCCATCTTGCGGCGGACCACATGAAATGGCGTCAGACCGTAAAGGAATGTGAGAAAAAAAAGTGGACGCAGTGCCTCATAGACCTGCGATGATATAAAATACTTTCGCACCCGACGCAACGCAGTGCACATTTTGCCTGTGACAAGCGACAATTGACGAACACGCACGACCGTTTGCTTCAAAGGGACAACTCGAACTGCAGCCAGGACGACGCTGCGCACCGCCAGCAACCGCGTCGTTCGCTGGCGAAAACAAAAATATGTCGCAAAAAAAAAATGGGCGAAAAAAAGAGAAAACATCAGTTACCGGCAGCGGAAGTATAACCGAAGCGAAAGCGCGTGCGAAAATTTCATTATGATGTTCGCTATCTCAGTCAGTCAGCAGGACGTGAGAGGAACACACAACGCAGGGATTACAGCAACAGCAGCAGCAGCAGCCGCAGCCAAGTCCAACAAGTGTGTGTCCTTGACGAGGAGGTAACGCATAGTCAAGCAGACGCCGCTGTCTGTGTTTAATTTAGTTGTTGGTATAACTAAGTTGGTCTGCCCTCAGATCTGATGCGTATGATACATGGAGAGGGCGGCAACTGGCACATGGAAAGTGCTACGATGACGTATCGCGTGAGAGAGGACCTTTTTCCTCTCTTGTCACGCACAACAACCTGCTAGTTAGGCATTCAATTGTCCCACAATACACCTAATGAAAGGGTTTTATCAGCATCTAGCTCGGTTAGAAATTTGAAAAGATAAAAGATCTTAGAGTACGCGCGCTATTTTATTATCTTATCCAAAATACTTCAAAAGATTGGGCAACTGCGTAAAGAGGGGTTTGGTTGCAGGCTGTGTTGGATGTTGTAACACATCTCGATATTAAACGATAATAAAATAATATATAATAATAATAATAATAATAAATAATAATAATGAATAAAATAATATAATTTATATTAAATATGAATGAAAAATCGGAATAATGATAAAAGGTAGAAATCAGAAGAGCTAACATTATTATTTTATTCCTTGGTTCTTTAACATTTTTAACAATACATAATATAAAAAAATATTTTTTAACCCAATTTCTAGTTTACAGAAATTAAGCAGAATATTTTAAATAATTTTTTTATATAAGACCCCCCACTTTTAACATATTTTCAATCCAATTAAAAAGCAAGGGCTTTTCTTGATAAGAATATATAACAAGTATCGCTTCAATATTGTTGCCGTGTGCATTGTCTGCATTGGGCTTGAGTACTCTGCACAATTCTTAGCTCTATTCAACAGCTGCACAGAAACATAAATATGTATCTAATATTATATTTTTCACTTATGCAAATTTATTTGTATGGCTGTTAATCGGCTCATCTCTAATAAGGTGAGCAGCACCAGCCTGGCAGTTTCATGGCTGGCAATTCATTATCAGGACATATCCCTGACACTCATGAGTACACACACAGTCGCAATCGCATGCACACGGTCACACTCAGCTGCGCCGCTTACGAGGCGTATGCGCAATATGGCGCTGCGGCTGAGGCGGGGGCAAAGTCCTGGCCATATGCTGATCAGTTTTTGTTGGTCTGCTGCCTTGTGCGCATGCATAATGTATCGCATTTATGGAGCGTGGCATGCAAAATAAGTGAATAGTTTATTTTCGATGACATTTGAATGACGCGAGATATGCGAGCAGCAGGATACTAGAGGAAACCATTTGGACTTTGCGCAAACTCGGAAACTCAATTTAATTATGCCAGGTATGTAGCCACACATATGTATGTCCCCAGGTGTAATTGTGCAAAGGCTATTGACCTATTTAGCATTCAGACCTAATGTGCGTTCTGGTATTCACTTCAGTTTCCAAAAACCGCTTTGGGTGGTTAATAATTAAAATAATGAAGCGTTTTTTTTGGGAGCGCCAAAGATTTAATACTGCATTAGTTTTGATAAACAAATTAATAAAACTTTAATGTAGCTAAATTAATATCAAGCTTCTTTGATGATTCAGCTTATTTTTCCGAACTCCTCTCTTACAGTGTCTCTGCGTATATGAAATTTTTAATGAGAGTTTCAAAAACTTTAGGACAAATAACATTTCCTTTTTTTAATCAAATACCTACTTTTCAATTTATTTTTAAGACACCTTGAATTAATTGTTTTCTGATTTCAGACACTTTTGGACATGAAGCTTCTAAAATTCCATTAACTTTCAGTATGGAAAAACAGGGTTTCCGGCAATCAAAGTGATTTCGTCTGCTAAGTAATTATGGCAAAGACTTGATTAAAAAACACAATGCACATTGTTGATATATGAAAATGCATTTAATATTAAATAATAATTATAGATCTGAGTATGATTAAAATATCTTGAAAAACAGAATATTTTGATAAGATTTGGCTCATACATAAGCAGCATAGTTTGGTCAAGATATCTTGATAAACCTAAAATCAAGAACCAATAGAATCTCCATTTATGCATCACACATTTCATGACTCAATCATAATACCCTCTACAAGGAACAATCGGAAAAGAATTTAATTCATCTATCTTTCTGTATGTAGTTAATATCAGAGTAAGTATGTGTGACTGCGTATTAATGTGTAGTTATCATAAAATTCGATAATTATAATATGTGTATGAGATCCGTTTCTCAGTCTTTTAGTTTGGTCAATAAACCAACATTGTGATCGCACAGAAATACTTCCTTTCGACTTTACCTTTATACTTCTGATATTGAAAAACCTTTTAAAATATACTGGATTGGGCAAACTTTTATATTCGAGTTTTATCCAACACAAATTAATTCGCTCGAAATTAGTTTAAAACTCAAACTAAATCTTAAAAATATTAATGTATCCATATAAATAATATATTAACAGCCAAGTGCGACTCACCTTATGCAATTGAATTAAACGGCGTTGAATCGATCGAGCCAACAGGCAGAACATACAAATTGTTATCGATACGGTGATCAGCTCATAGATCATGATGAAGATCAGCTGATAGCTGGGACGCACTTCCATATTGGCTAGGCAGACGAGACAGGCAACTATGATGGTAACATCCAAGGCAGTGCCCAGCAGCAGCACCAATAGAGCCTGGTACTTAACCTGTTTGTAGTCCACGGGCAGGTGTAAACGCGCCAGGCGCCGATCGATGCGGACCAGAGTTTCGATGGCGTGTCGCAGATGGCGGCGCAGGAAAAGCGGCATTATAAAGATGACGACGGCGGCCCAGATGCCGGCCACATCGTGCAAGCGGGGGCTCACCTGCGAGATGTGGTTGCGCATAAAGTAGCCAATCAGGGACTCTCTGTGCAGATGTATGTGCACGTAGCAATACGCGAACAGCAGCCAGCGGCTGATGGAATTGGCGAATCCGTACCACGACTCACGCACCACTCGCTCGCCGTGGCAACCGTCGCGGGACACATAATACGGCGTTATGCCCAGCACCAGCGCCAGGCCAATAATTAGCCTTATGCTGCCATAGAAATCCTGAGCTCTGAAGATGCGTCGCACAGCGAGCTTCCAGAAGCCCGGCGACCCTGAATCGTGGCGTAGCATTTCGCGATGCGGCCAACGGAGCACTAAATGAAAACTGACGTGCCGCCTAATTGCTGCATACTTTAGGGAGCTCACGTCTAATCGCTGACAGTGTGGGTTTCGTCTGTTATCAGAGATTAAATATCGCGTATCGTAATCGCACTCAAGTGCTTCGGTAGGCAAATCCTCCAACTCTAAACATCAGCTTGTTGTTGTCAGCCAATTGAGCAGTGTAATGAATTAAATGTGTATACCCTGTAATCATGATTTCGGTGCTAAAGGGTATATGGATTGCAGTTCGATACCGTGTCGATTCGGTATGCAAGGAGGTTAAAATTGATTGAAGAAAAAATGTTGATAACATAATAAATTTATATTTTAAAAATTACTTTTATTTATAGTTTTTCGTGTGTTCTAAAAGTTGAAAAGCGATTTTAATAATGAAATATTTATTAATTATTATTTATTCGCAGCTTTTTTCTTAGTGTGGCAGACCCGAATACAGGGTAACTGCCAGTTGAGCACTTTCGACGAGAGCATTCTAATTTGTTTGTTTTGCCTCGGTGGATGAAATCCATCATCGTTTGTGTTGTTATCATCTGCTTAGCTGTATTACTAATGACTAGCGACAACTCAGGGTTTCATCGTTTCATTGAATTCTACTTCAGTTCATAATTGCTCGACAATTGAGCAGGTTGTGAAATTCAAGCTCGGTGTTTAGTTCCCTATGTAATTTCACCTTAATTTTTGGTCGTTTTTGCATACTTTTTGGTGCGCATTGAATTCAATAAGAGAGATACTCAATATAATTGTGGGAGCTGAGTGCACATAAAAAATATATATAAATATATAGAAAATGACTTTTTATCGTATTTCTCTTTCAAGATTGAGATCCCCAGTCGTTGCTTAATAAATATTTACTATTAAATGAAATAAATGTATATCATGTTGCCCTAAGAAAAGCTCTAATCTTCTTGTTGTATTCAAAATTTTAAAAAGCATCTACTTAAATTATTGACTCAAAAAGGTCTACTAGCCGGGCATTGTCAACTAAATAAATCTTAGGGCAATCTTAGTTGTTTACAAATATATTCATAGCATCACAACAGGTCTTGCTACTAACTTTTAATCAAAAAAGTTTTGGGGTAATTGCTATACTACGTTTTTAGGGCAAGGTTCGTGTAGACAGGGTCAGCAAGGAATCCAGTTGAATGCATATTTTAAGTAATTTATGCACTGATTACTTGGAAAAGTAATCAAAATTATTTTTAGCTGCTTAAGCTTATATTGTGTTTTTTTCTCAGTAAGTTCAAAGCAAGTTGAACGTGCTCTATTTTGTTGCAGGGCCACACTCAATTCGGAGCCAGCCAAGCAAATCCAACAAGTACTCGTCATCGTCTGCATCTTCCTCTCCAAGCGGGCTGCATCATTAACAATGCAAGCGAGATTGCATAATGAGACCAGCTTAATGAGCTGACAGCGTCGTGCATATAAGAAAAACGCAACAAATCATGCGCCTGGCTTAGAATTTTTGTCGCACAATTTGCTAACAATAACAATAACGTAAGCAACAACGACAAAAATAACAACAACAGCAACAACAACAATAATACATTAACCAAGTGCCAACTATAACAATAACAATAACGACAACAACATATGCAACCGCATTGGAAGGTCTGCATCTCGTCTGTGTCTGGCTGGGTCTGGTTTGGGTCTGGCCTGGCTTGGGGCGACCCGGTCTGCTCTGTGCCAGCAACGCATGACAATGGCGCCAACAATGCCAAGCGAGTCCCCCAGATTCTGCTCCATAGTCAACCCAATGAGGTATGTGGCATATATTTGTGTGTTTTTTTCACACGTGCAGCGTATTTCGTTATTCGCTTTTTCATTAATGGGACACGACGCTTGCTGATTATTTTAGTTTCATTTTCTTTTTATTTTGATCATCTTAAAGTTTCATGGAAGATGACAGATAACACTATGAGTTACCCTTCAATTCAAATAACAGGTGTATTACGTATTAAGCATTTCTAGAATTAAAAAAGTAAAATTTTAATCCTATTTTACCTGCAATATGTGCTCCTTCGGAATCAATTTACTCATATACGGTAATTAAGAATCCACATGAAAATCTATTTCTATTTGCAGCTGTTGTTAATAGTATAAGCTTTCGCTTAATAGTTTCAGCTTTTGTTAATAGTATAAGCTTTTATTTTACTTAAATTAATAAAATAATATATAAGTAAATTATTTAATTTTAAAGTTGTTTTCGTTCTTTTTCGTTTATTTTATTTCCTTTAATGTGGGTAGATTAATAAGCTCAAGTTTTAAATTATTGTGGCATAGAAACATCAAAAATTGCATTTTTATTTTTTTTTATATATTAAACGTAGTTTATTTTAAATTAAAATAAAACTTATATTACGGTATTTGTTTGTTGAATACCCTGGTTTTGTGATTTGTCGCTTGTTTTTTTATGAAGCTGAAACTGATCTCAGTTGAACCTAAATAATCATAAATAGAAATATGTTGTTAGCTTTGTTCGATTGATAAGAAAGTCTAAAGCGCCACCTGTCGGGCCAAATATGTGCAATATTGTGAGTTTGTGTAGTTGATAACAAAACGAAAGTGGGCAGGGTATTGCTCGTGATAAGAAGCCATGGTCCCGATTCTAGTTTGAAGGCTTATCGCCACAGTTGCCCCACCGGTTCAGGGAAGTCACACGAAATTTGATTGTCAATGCTAATCGTAATGGATCCTAGGCTTTCTCGCCAGCTGCTGTGGGCTGCTGTGGTTTAGTTTTCACTTTGGATTTGTGGCGCGCGGCTGCTAATCGAGATGTGGCGCACAGGCATCGCACAGAAAGCAGCTCGCCAGGACTTGTGGCGCGTGTTGGGCCGCAACAAGAGCAGGAGCTCGGCCCCAGCGCCAACGCTGCCCCAGTCGGCGGATGTGGTGGTGATTGGCGGCGGCTCGGCCGGCTGTCACACGCTCTACCATCTGGCCAAGCGGGGCGTGAGGGCGGTGCTGCTGGAGCGAGCACAACTGACGGCGGGCACAACCTGGCACACGGCGGGGCTGCTCTGGCGCCTGCGACCCAGCGATGTGGACATACAGCTGCTGGCCAACTCGCGGAATATGTTGCGTCAGCTGGAGGCGGAGACGGGCCTAGACCCTGGCTGGATACAGAACGGTGGCATCTTCATAGCGCACAATGAAACGCGCCTGGACGAGTACCGTCGCCTGGCAACTGTCGGTGCAGCTCTGGGCATTGAGAACGAGATACTGTCGCCCGAGGAGACGCAGAAACTGTTTCCCCTGCTCGACCCCAAGGCATTTATTGGTGCGCTCTACTCCCCCGGCGATGGCGTCATGGATCCGGCAATGCTCTGCACGGCCTTGAGACGGGCGGCAACTAACAACGGCGCCCAGGTGATCGAGAACTGTGATGTACAGGAGATTCTCGTCGAGCAGGGCACACGCGGTAAAAAGGTTGTGGGTGTGGCTACGCCCTTTGGCAACATACGCACTGATACTGTGGTGAATGCCACTGGCGTCTGGGGTCGCGATCTGGTGGCTCGACATGGTACCTACCTGCCGCTGCTGCCCATGAAGCATGCGTACATTGTCTCCGAATCGATACCGGGTGTTCGCGGTTTGCCCAATATACGGGATCACGATTATTCAACTTACTTCCGCATACAGGGCGATGCCATCTGCATGGGCGGCTACGAGCCAAATCCCATACTGCTGGAACCCGTGGCGAAAGACTTTCACTTTGGCCTCTACGAGCTGGACTGGTCGGTCTTTGAGACGCATGTGGAGGGCGCCCAGAAACTGTGCCCCACCTATGCCAAATACGGTATCAAGAGCACCGTTTGCGGTCCGGAGTCCTTTACGCCGGATCACAAGCCGCTTATGGGTCCCGATCCAGTGGTGTCTGGGCTCATGCACAACTGTGGCTTCAACTCGGCTGGCATGATGTTCGGAGGTGGCTGTGGCGAGCAAACGGCTCTGTGGATCATCAATGGCCAGCCGGATGTGCCCATGTTTAGCTTTGATCTGCGACGCTTCACACAGGAACAGGGCCGCGCCACCAAGTGGATACAGGAGAAGTCGCACGAGAGCTATGTGAAGAACTACAGCATGGTCTTCAAGTACGATCAGCCCCTGGCCGGACGTGACTTCCAAAAGGATCCGCTGCACGAAGAGATGTTGCAGTGCAACGCCTTCATGGAGGAGAAACAGGGCTGGGAGCGACCCGGTTTTTTTCTGGGATCTACTGTAGATTCTGCAGCAGTGCTGCCCTATGACTGGTACGGCAGCTATGACCACCCACGACATAAGGACAGCAACTACGAGCGTGTCCTGGAGGCCGATCTGAAGTACAGCAGCTTTTCCGAGCATCACGATCTGGTAAGTCCTTTTACGAACATTCTGTACAGTCTATGTAATTATTGTTTGCTTCCTTTTTCAGATTGGAGCTGAGGCACACGCCTGTCGCAACAATGCGGTGGTCTTCAACATGAGCTACTTCTCCAAGCTGTTGCTGGAGGGACCACAGGCTCAGCTGGCCGCCGACTGGCTCTTCTCTGCGAACACCAACCGCGATCCCACCAAGTTAGTATGACTTAATAAAACTCCATTATCAAATATTTATGTGTTATTTATAAATCATAGAACTGTCTACACCTGTGCGCTGAACGATGCTGGCGGCGTGGAGGCGGACGTAACCATAAGCCGTTTGGCATCGGGCTCTGGACAGGTGCACGATCCCAAGTTCGAGGGTCAGGGATACTATATTGTGGCCGGCGGTGCATCGGCTTATTACACGTACAGCATGCTGCTCAGCGAGATGCGACGCAAGGGCTTTGATGCCAAGTTGACTGACATCACAGCCGAGCTGGGCGTCATTTCTATACAGGGACCCAATAGTCGGCAGATTCTGCAGCCGCTGCTCGACTGCGATCTCTCCGATGAGCATGTGCCACCAAATAGCACTCGCTTGGCCACCGTTAAGGGAAGTGGACTGCGCCTGCTGCGCGTCAGCTTTGTGGGTGAGCTGGGCTATGAGCTTCATGTGCCCAAGCAGGATTGTGTGGCCGTCTACAAGGCGTTGATGGCTGCTGGCAAGGCACAGGATCTCCGTAACGCAGGTTACCGAGCACTGTACTCCCTCAGCAGCGAGAAGGGCTATCATCTATGGAGCTACGATCTGCGTTCGGATGATACTCCTTTGGAATCTGGCCTGGGTTTCACCTGCCGCAAGACGGGCGACTATCGCGGTCGTGCCGCAGTGGCGAGACAACGCGCGGAGGGCATCAAGAAGCGCTTGGTTTACCTCACTCTGCAGCAGCGGGTGCCCATTTGGGGCCTCGAAGGGGTCTACCGGAATGGCGAGCCAGTCGGCGTGCTACGCCGAGCTGAATATGCATATACGCTTGGAAAATCTCTGGGTCAGGCTTATATATCACGCACCGACGGCCAAAAGGTCGATGTGGACTATCTGAAAGCGGGTGACTATGAAGTGGACATCCTGGGCAAACGCTACAAGGCGGATTGCTATTTGCGCAGCCCCTTTGATCCCACTGGACAGCGTGTCCTCGGTAACTACGAATCAATCAAGACAAATAAATCTTAATTGTGTCCTACCTAATTTGTTATACTTTATTGTTGGGGACGTTATCTTGAAAGTTACTGTAGTTACCTTATGTGGATATTTTAATGGATTTTTGTAAAAATTCATTTGATACGTATTTCACACTTCTTCCGAGATCCTCCCCCCTTGTATTATAAATGCGACTCAGAAGTTAATTGGGCTCATTCCCAATAATCTTTAATAACATTCAATTGAGACGTGTTTCACAATTTTCGCTAAATTAAGGACTCCTCGGTGTAAAACGCAGAGGAAAAACTTTTTGGGCGAAGTTTCGTTGTTTTATTAAGTGAAGCTCTGAGTTTCTTCCGATCGGACTCAAATTTATTTTCAAAGCACAGCATAAAAACTTAATGAATACGTGATTCGGCTATTTTACAAATTCCATCAGCAGCCTTGGCTGCATCCGATAGCCTTCAAACTCATTTGCATATATTTTGCAAATTTATTTGATACGTAATTCGCAAAATCCGCCAGTTCGATGGAAAATGCGGGTCAAAAGTTTAATGAACGAAAGTTTAAGTTTTAGGTACAAGAATCTTGCCACAATACTAACAACTTTTGGTTCTTAATTTTATTGATTGCATTTCAAGATATAACGGATAACTTTCAGATTTAACGGGCGGGAACTACATCAAAAAATATATATCTAAGATTGTAAGCATACAACTTGCCACGGGCAAGGCCAAGAGTACCCGCTATGTATGTATGTATATATGTATGTATGTATGTATGTATGTATGTATGTGTGTGTGTATGTATGTATGAATTTTTGTATGTATGTATGCATGCATGTATGTATGTATGTATGTATGTATGCATGTTTGTATGCATGTATGTATATATGTATGCATGTTTGTATGTATGTATGTATGTATGTATGTATGTATGTATGTATGTATGTATGTATGTGTGTATGTATGTGTGTATGTATGTATGTATGAATTTTTGTATGTATGTATGCATGCATGTATGTATGTATGTATGTATGTATGCATGTTTGTATGTATGTATGTATATATGTATGTATGTTTGTGTTTATGTATGTATGCATGTATGTATGTATGTATGTATAGATGTATGTATGTATGTATTTATGTATGTATGTATGTATGTATGTATGTATGTATGTATGTATGTATGTATGTATGTATGTATGTATGTATGTATGTATGCACGTAAGTATGTTTGTAAGTCTGTTTATAAAAACGAATTCTAACTAAGTCCCTTCTACTCGATTCTCATAAATTCATGTAAGCCTCATAGGCTTCACTTCGAGTAGAGGAGGCGGCTTCAACTGTGGAGGAGACGGCTGCTTCAGCTGGTACGTATTATAGTTTTAACTATGTCTCATCATCTGAAATATTGATTACAATCGCTCGTATGCATATTTGTTTGTATGTATTTGAATACATATATATGTATGTATTTAGATATGTGTGCAATTATTACCCTATTCCCACAAATTCAACTAAGGTTTCGCAAGCTGGCTGCGTTTTAAGCTAATAAACATTCTCTCTGCTTTTATGTTCTTTCAGTGATGTGTTTGTATAAAAGATCGTCTCCCGCCTGCTGATAGATGACTATAAAATAATCAGTGGTCTGAATTTACAGGTGAGTACGTAACTATAAATATATATTTATATTTATTTACTATCAAAATAATGGCCAGATGAAGGTTCTTCAAATACTAAAGCAAAAAACAGCACCGATTGCTCTTTGGTTTGTTTGAATAGTTTCATGAGCTTCGGTATTGACAAATTGGCGGAGTTTGCTTTATAAATATTTCCTTGAAAAATCTTGAATTCTATTTTTATTTTGTACGCCAATTGTTCCAATCTGAAGTCGTTTTTGTTTACATTTTATTTTTTAATTTAACTCGAGGCCAATGGAAAATGTTTAGATAAACTTGAGCTACGCAACAATTAAATATTTTACCGTTGCGAAATACGCATATTTGTGGCATTAATGGCTAATGATAATGGTTTGAGTTTCGGTTTCTGTTCAAGAATCTTCAACTTTGCCACGTGATGGCAAGTCAAAGTCAGTCACTGGGTTATGGCTATGATGTTGCCACAGTCACAGCCACAACCACAACCGAGCCAGAGACAGAGGCAGAGGCAAAGCCAGAGACACCACATCTGCATAGAGACAAGTTAATTAGCTCTCTGAAAAGCAGCAGACACCACAGACCAGGTTAATTATGGCCGTATAATATGTTGTTATTGTAATTTATCATTGTTTACGCTTTGTGCGCGCACTTCTTGAAGATTCTGCCGCTAAACGGCCTTGCCTGACTTTTTGTATAGATATGGCGGGTTGGGCCAGCAGGGAGGGGAGGGGGGCATATCAGCGCCCAGAGGCAGTCGTAATGCTCAATTAAATGACAACACATTTCTTTGACAAAGCCCAATTTTTAAAAATGTTACATAAACTCAACGCTGCAATGAGCCAAAAACCTAAAAAGCAATTAAAAATTGTCGTGCTTAATGACGCAAGATGTCAAATGGCTGATTAAGCGCCAGCCGGGCGAGGCGTGGGTTGCGGCAGAGTGAAAAGTGAAAAGCAGCCTACACAGTGAACCACATAAATCTGTGTACATGTACACGTACATGTACATGTTTTTATATATATATAAATATGCATGTAGCCTCGGGCAGTTAGCTTCATGGTAAGCCGCTTTAATATCAGGCAACTTTGTTGGCTCTCAATCTGAAATTGCCTTCATTGCCAGCGCTGCCTGGCGGGGGTCATTTGGGCCCCAAATCTAATTGCAGCCACAGTTATGGCTAGGGCGCTACGAATCTGTTATTCGAATCTCAGTTTGCAAGTCAGCAGCAGCTGGTTGCGGCACTCGAAGTCGACGCCACTTCAAGTTCAAGTTCAGGCTACCCTCATTTAGTCAATCGAACAACTGCAATTTGGCAATGTTCACACTTAAATTTGTATTCACACATCTGCCAAAATGGGCTGCTGGTTGGGTTCGCTTTTGCTGCATAAATCAGTTGAACGAATGCGTTCAAAGTCAAGATGCACGGCAACATTATGGTCTACTAAGTATATTTGATTTCGATTTCGGTTTCGATTGAAGTAGCTTCGAGCAAACATTATGAGTTGCAATTAAAATTAATTTACTCAATGACCTTGCGGCAGCTGCGGCTGCTGCTCCAATCATTTGCAATGCATTTGAAGATGCACAATCTGTGAATGGCAAAGTGCGTGTGAGGATGCGCTTTTGCCTTGTCGTGAACTTGAATATTGAAAGTGCGCACATGAAAAGCTGTAAAACTCAAATTAATTCGATATTCGATATATTGCGCTTGCAATGAGCTAAGCATAAAACATCTGCTGGTAGGCTTAACATGAAAAATTAATTAAAATGTTTGATGTGCTTGAGCTTGAGCACAAGCACATCAACACAACATTAATCAAAATATAATAATCATTTAGGGGCTGGCTGAGCATGAAACTGACCCTACAATATGCTACAATTAAAGCCAACAAAAACAATAAATATTTTAAATAGTTTTCGTTTATTTTGTGCCTTTTATTAATTTTTGTTTTGTTAATTTTTTGGTTTTTTTTTCTCCAACTTTTGGCTAATGATGAACAAATTGTGCCGGAAGCAATAGCGCTTCATTGATTTTACTGACATTATTGACACAGTTTTGTAGCCCCCTGACTGATCAGGCGCCTTGTTGAGTTACATAAGTGAAATGTAAATAAATTGTTGATAAGTCACGAAAGTGTTTTTTTTTAAGTGTGCCGCCAGGGGGCACAACAAAGGCAAAGAAATAAATAAATAAATCGGTAATCATTTGTTTAAACAAAACGCGTAACGGCATCAAATATTTTGCATTTTTCCATACACATTATTATTATTTTTCACCAAAAATTCGCAAAGCAGCAGCAGGCTTAACAAAAGACTCAGGCGACAAACTTGTTTCGAGGAGCGACGCGCCTGCAAACATGTTGCTCGAACCGCTTGGCAACTGCAGCTCAAACCTAACACACTGACACAGTTAAACGAGTGTGCGTGAGTATGTGTGTGTGTGTGAGTGTGGTGTAATTTACAGGCTATTTACTGGGCCATAACTCAATTAACAATGAGATGTCCAACTGAAGTTTGAGTGGAAATCTCTTTGGTTTCGAACACTTGACTCGCCTGAGCTGTTTTTTTTTGGCCATAGGCTTACAGTAGGCTGCACACACACACACACACACACGCATATACCAACAGGCATAAATGCGCGACAAGCGCGGTTTGAGCCGTGTTCGAACGGCAACCGCAGCGCCAAGTTGTTCGTTTTATGCTGTTTGTTTTTTGTTGTTGTTGGCTTTGGCTAGTTGTGCACCTTATTTTTTTGTTTTTCCGTTTGCTTTTGTTTTTTTGCTTTTTGTTTTTGGTTTTGGGGACAAGCTATAAACCGTGGCAAGATCGTCGTTGCGTTCAGTTGGTAAAAGTGAAGCGTTGCGTGCGGTTGTCTCTCTCCACACTCCATAAAACAATTACAAGTACATCATTTTTCATTCTCGTTCAGCAAGCAAACATCGCTGACTCGTTTGTGGTGTTAGCATCGTAAATACATATTGTACAAGGTGATTATCTACGCACATCCTTCAGGGATAAACAAAAACTGTTGAAATTTTAAAGAAATCAGCCAAATCTGTGTTTTACCCAACTTTGTGTAGTGAACTTTTGAGTGCAAATTTTGAAAAATGAAGCTCTCATTAGATGATTGCCAAATGGGCTTAGTTTAGAAATGAAAAACCTTCGCTACTTGCTGTCAAATTGGAATGCTTCGCCGATTTCTTCATAAAAATAAAGCCATGTTAGGTCTTTTTAAATAATGAATAGGTTTGTGTGATAAAAACAGTATTAGACTTGTTTTAACAAAGAATTTATTTTCTGTGTGCTTAAAAATAAATTACATTTAAAAAAATAAAGATGTCTGGATCCTAATACAACCCCAAGCTGATATATAGACTTCAGCTATCCGATCACATTTTAATATCATAATAGAGCGCTTTTTTCGAGGATTTGTGCTAGCTGTGTTGAACAACAATATAAGTTTTCAATAGTAAAGCCGATCATTCACATAGCAGCTATATAGTATAGTGGTCCGATTCCGCGTAATCTGACATAAATAAAAACTGCTTTTAATAAAAATACGAATCTGTGTAATATAGTTTCAGAACTGATAGACTAGCTTGTGTTGAAACTGATAGATGAAGTGAGAGATATGTCCATAATAGCTTGTCGTCCTGATCTGGAAGAAATACATATACTCTGAGTAGTTAAAATTCTTTAATATATGATATTCTCTACAAAGATATAATAGATATATATAAGGCGTTAGTTTTTTTTCAAGAGAAAACATTTTAGAAGAGTGAATTTTAGTCCAAGAGTAAAATAAAAGTATCATTTATAATATAATGAAAAAGCTTAAAAATTCAAAGAATGAGAATGCAAAATATATACAATATATAAAAGTCAGATACAATAGATTTTATTTCCATGAAAATAAAAGATTGTTATTCGTTAATATAACATTCCTTGATCCACAACTTGTTTATAAACTCATTTATTCTCTGCATACATAAATTTTAGATTTATTAATTGTATCTTAAGAATTAAACGTATGATTCAAAATGTTAAGATAAAAAGGGATTGTTTTCTTATTCAAACCAAGAACAACATAAATAGTATATTTTAGCCTTGTTGCATGGGCCCTTCTATTAGAACTGACAACTTTAGTTTTTCATTAGGCGCAATATAAATACAGATGCATTTAAGCAGATACTTGAGGCTCCATATTTGCCGAGGTGCTTATCTAGTTGCAATTAAGCATGCCCTAGTTTCTGGTAAAACGCTTCTGTACGAGAACAGCCCACACCCATTCACTCGCTCACACACTCACACACATGCACACCCCCGACTGCACGTGTGTGTGTGTGTGTGGCTACCAAATTACATGCATTCAAGCAGAAGATTGCGCAATATGTTTTGTATTTGGCCGCCTCAGTGCAAATGAGCGGAAAATCTAATTTTCCAGCCGCATGCAAATTTTGTTTTATTTTTGTTTTTTATTATTTTTTTGTATGTTGTTTTTTTTTGCAATATGCCAAAATGTCAGGCTGCTACTGCAGCTCGTCGGAGGTCGTAAACATAAAACATGCTCATAATGCTTTATGGGGTTGAGGCATAAACGGCAACCAGATAACAGCTAAACGCATTTAACATTCTTTTGGGTCTTGTTTTTATTGTGCCAAAGCAGCTGCTGATCCGCAAATTACACAGCTGATGAGCCAGTTTCGGGCATCGTGACCATATAAATGCTGGCAATCTCCAGAAGAGCTGTCTGCCAAAGACAACAACAATGAAATTCCTCTGAAGAAATCGCAAGTCACGTCCCCAGCAAATGGCAACTGGCAACTGCAATTTCAAGGCTGCCGAATTGACAACAAATAATTTATTTTTGATTCAGCGCGAAAGTCGCTAAACAATCCGCATTGATCTGCCAACAGACTCCCAGAGGAAAGTTAGCCAAAGCCTCCGCTTGGAATTCTGTGTGTAATTTTAGCGGTATATATGCAATTGGGACTGCGACAAATGTGCTAAGACCCTGTGCAGACGCTGACAAATTGCATTTAACAATTTGGCTCAAATGCAAAAGCCAGTCATGATCATTAACTTGGCCAGTTAACTTGTACCAGTCATCATCCAGCTCAAAGATTGCAGCTATGACTTTAAATTGTTCGCTCTTTGGTTCACTTGATTTTTGTACCATTTTTCGTGTCTACCTTTCTCTTTCTCTAACGCACGGCTCAGACAGTACTCGCCCACAAGCGACAACAAAAAAATGGTTAACATTTATTCAATTCATTAGCGTTGCGTCAAGTTTCGTAGTTTGTCATTTGCGGCCAAAAACGGGCAGCCAAAAGATTAAGTACTGGCGTTCAGGAGACGCATCTTCACATCGTTCGTATCTGTTTATAGATGTGCACACACATCTTTATGTCATGACCAAAAACTGAAAATATTTTCACTATCATTTCGTCGCATTGTTATTGTTATTTATTTTTGTTGTTGTACTTTTTGCCAGCTACAGGCCTACAAAAATAAAAAACCTGAACCCCAAGCTCAAGCTGTAGCTGTAGCTGTAGCTGTGCCCGTTGAGCAGTAAAAGTAACGCACCTTGCTGACCAACCTGACAGCTCCTTTGCTGGCTGCTGTTTCATCTGTCCCACTGTGGCGCTGTCCAGCTGTCTGCTTGTCTGGGACGATCGCAAACTTGCTCGCAACTGGCAGACTTTCTTCCACAGTCTGTCCAGTTTTTCTACATATTATTTGCGCGACTTTGTTTACCAGAAAACCTCTTACGCTTCTACCACATACCTCGTACCTCGTACCTGGTACCTGGCACCTGATACCTGTTGAGGCAATTAAATGCCGCAGCCGTTGCATCCGCGTGCAACTTTCTTAACATTTAACAGCGCATCCTGCTTTGCTCAGCAGCAGCCCTTTAGACGCTCCGACGCCGCGAACTCTTGAACCCCATGACAAATATTGCAACATTGGAACAGTCCATTGTCTAAGCATACTTCTAATTGACATTAAGAAACGCAAACAGAACAAACAAACATACTTAACTAGACACACAAAGGCTTGGCGCAGACCTACTTTTGGCCAAGAGTTGGCCGCCCAGTTGTTGCCTCCGCCAGCAACTAGTTGTCGCCAGTTACTATAGTTAGTGTAGAAGTTGTTGCCAGTTGTTTGTGGTTGGCAAATCCGTCTTCTTTATAATTGCTGTCACCGGTGCATCATGCTTAGAAAAACTCGTCTCACCTCTGCGTTCTACATACGAGCATAAGCCAAACGAAACGAACGAGCTAAGCAACGAAACAACTGATTTCTCTGGCAAATTAAATGAGTTGAAATGATCTGCTTTTCTATTGATTTCTAATTAACAGAAAGCGTTCATACAGAATCTAACGAATACCTTGTTCATTGAATATCAGTTTTGGTGCATTCGGTTTTTCTCCATCAAAACTTTTATTAAAGATTCAGATTCAGATTCTTTCTAAATCAGATAAAATTGTATATATTTCAATTCTTATACAACGTTCTTATGATACTTATTAAAAACCTGAAAGTACTATCCATAATGAATTATATTGCAATTTTTGGCAGATTCGACAATATTTTCTTTCGATTTATTTAAACTACGTACGTTAACTTAGTATTCTTAATATTTGCTGTATATATTCCAATTATTTATTATTGGTAATTAGTGAAATACATTATCATATCCAATCATAACTATTTATTTATTTATTTGCATTCAAAATGTCTAAGCTCATATCAAAAGTATTTCATTGTAATCGTAAACTTTTATATAAATTAAAAAATTTCAAAATATTTTCCATCACATAATTAAAATGCATAACCTAAAGCTCTTGTTAATTGAATTTCCTTGACAACCATGGAAATAATTAATTTTCGGTGTACCAATATCTTTAATGCAGCATCTTTAATTACATTTGTTGTGCACATTGGCTTAAAGTATTAGCTGAAAATTCAATTATAGGAAAACATTTGGAAACCGCTGCAAATCGTTGAAATTTTCAAGATTTTCACACACTTTTGTGTTTTATGGCATTTTAATAATTCGACAGCCAAAATTGTGTAAAATGTATAAACAAGATAATATCAAAGTTTTCTGGTTTATTGGCGCATTAAAAACTCGTGATACATAAATAAAATTGTAGTCAAAAATAAAAAGGAAATACGTAAAATTGCACAAGTGTGAAAACCAGTTGCGATTAGATGATATTAAAGATTTGACTGCAAAAAGTGCATAAGCCGGAGATTAATTGTCGTATGCAGAGAGCGAGATGGAGAGCGGGGAGGGGAGTGGGGGAGGGGTGGGCTAGGAATGCAGCTGCATGGACAGGCCAAATGTTAGGCAGATGCCACATGGCCAGGCATGGAATAAATTATTTAACGTACACAAAGCCGCAGACAAATATTGGAATGCTGCACAGATGTGCACGTTAATAGCGAAAAAAGGCAAAATATTTTTAAACATTTAATTTGTTGTCTTTCAATTTTATTTGGCTATTGAGCACGCTTTGAAGGTTGAATTGTTTTATGTTTTTTTTTTCGTTTGCCATTTATATAAGGTATTAAGTGGCATTTAAGTTGTCGAGCTCCTCGCTTATTAGTCATAATGTTTATACACATGGAGTTAGCTGTATCAAATGCCTTTCTCCCAAAAACTGATCCACGCAATTAACAAGTGCCCCAAAGCACAAAAATTAAAATATTCAATGAAATGCGTTAAAGGTAATTGCATAACAATTTATAAGCGTTAACAAAATTCAAAAACAATTGGCCACTTCAAATACAAGTAAAGAGGCCGCAATTGTATTCGAATTTGGTTTTTGTTTATTTTCATTTTTTATTTTTTTGTTGCTTTGGGCCTTTCGTCTTACCCACGACAATTAGCTCGACAAGAAATAGACAATGCACATAGGAAGAGCAAATGAGGCAACGGAAATTTAAATTACAAAATTTACAAGCCGTGAAAAAGTGAAATATAATAAAAGCATGCACAACCACAACAAAGTATCTGACAATTGCGCGTGGCACAAATTGGAAAAAAATATAAAAGCCAAAAACCAAAACAAAACCAAAGTCGTTAGCGCTGTTATCAGACGGAAGAGTCAAGTTGGACAGTTGAATATTCAGCCAACTGTGTGTGTTATATATGGCCCAACAAAAATTAACTACAACAACAACAACAACAAGTAGAGAGCAATGCAACTTTCTCCAAGAAAACAAATTGTTTGGTATGCAACGCCAGACTCTGACTGTGCTTGGACTCAAGAGCCAGAAACTGTCGGGTATGGCATGTGCCCTGCCCCAGAGTTAGCTCTGGTCTCAGTTCTCTTGTAGCGCAGTGTTTGCTGTTGGCTTAGGTCAGTTATTTTCTTCTTTGCAGCTTGGGCTTGGCCAGCATGGAATTGGGTAAAGGTCAAGAGTTTATGCGGGCACAAATTGTTGAAATTTTTGGCAACAGACAAAACTTAATTACGCTTTTGCTTTGCTTTTAATGTTTATTTAAGTGAAGAGCATTTTGATTTATGGATTGTTATTAATTAGTTTTTTATACAGTTTTGTGTACAAGCCAAATATTAGATTTTTTTAAATCTAAAATTGAGATACTTGTAAGGTCTTTAGAGTCGACTGCTAAATTTTGTGAAATAAAAGACGTCTTATCGCTCAGTTAAATATAAAAATATATGAAAAATAAATATATTTTTTTAAATTTATTTATGTTGTTTGCGAGGCAGTGAAAAGTTACAACAAATTTGGATACATAAGAAATCTAAAAATTTGCTTAATTTTTCGGGCTATTATAATTATTCACAGAATTCTTTATAACTAGTTATTGCTATTGATTAAAGTAAAAATTAAGAGGCTCGATTGATCTTTCTTGTGTTTTTCTTGTATTGAATATATTTAAACTTTGGCATTGTGTTCCATGTTTTCTTGAGAAACTTTTTAAACTTTGAACTTTGAAGCTGCGGTTGACTTATTGCATAGCTTTAAACAAGTCTTTCAATCATAGCATCTTCTTTTGCCAATTAATTTGCCTAACAAATGCAAAAGCTAATCTTTCCGGATTTAATTGCAATAAACATATTTATATAAGCCCATAGACAGCTGCACTTTTGTTGAGTCTGAGCCACAGCTGCCATCAATAGACCATAAAATTTGCACATTAATTAGCTGGGTTTTAGCCATAACTAATAATAGATAAAAGCATAAAACAATTAACTAATTTGCATGCACAGTTATTAAAGAGTTAACCCAGCTGATACGATTGTTGCCAAGCAGAATATGCTCAGGGAATTCTCATGATTACGAAACAGGGCGCTCAGCAAGGCCGTTGCCGAACCTATTACGAATTGAAATAGAAAAACTACTCAATTAGGCGAAATGAAATCAAACTGTGCGAATTGACAATTGTCAGCGACAAATTCCATACACAAGCCGAACAAAGCGCACAGTCAAAATCGCTCAAAATCGATCGAATCGAGCCGAGTGACCGATCTGTGATATTTCCAATCACTGATTTTGCATAAAAAGATGTCGACTCATCCGAGCGGAAATGGGTTGGGCACCTTTTGGGCGATGGGTCAATCGGCAATTCTCCAAAAAATAAAAAGACAACTAGAAAATCTGAACAGCAAAACAGTTTCCAATTGCGCCTAATCGAAACAACTTTTGATTTTTTACACTTGCAGCCGTTTTTAGATTTAAACCGAGCCACGCCCACTTGAAAATGTTTGCGCTGCGCACGTTGCTGCTGCTGGCGGTGAGCGCCACCGTGGCGCTGGCCCAGCGTCGTCTGGCGCTGCCGGATCCGCGCAGCTGCGCCAATCGTGTGCGGCATGCCACCTACCGGGACGCCAGAGGCGTCTCGCACTCATACTTCTTCAGCTGGGAGCATGCGCCGACGCGCAGCCTGGAGGTGGACTGGCTGGATGCGCGCAACATTTGCCGGCGGCACTGCATGGATGCCGTCTCGCTGGAGACGCCCCAGGAGAATGACTTTGTGAAGCAGCGCATCGCGCGTGGCAATGTGCGTTACATCTGGACGTCGGGCAGAAAGTGCAACTTTGCTGGCTGCGATCGGCCCGATCTGCAGCCACCCAATGAGAACGGCTGGTTCTGGTCCGGCTCTGGCGGCAAGATTGGACCCACATCGCAGCGCAACACCGGCGACTGGTCGCAAACGGGCGGCTACAACCAACCGCAGCCGGATAATCGCGAGGCCGCCCAGGGCAACGACGAGAGCTGCCTTTCCATTCTGAACAACTTCTACAACGATGGCATCAAGTGGCACGACGTCGCCTGCCATCACATCAAGCCCTTCGTTTGCGAGGATTCCGATGAGCTGCTCAATTTTGTGCGCTCCCGAAATCCCAATGTGCGCTTGTAAATCTAAAATAAAACTTAAAATAAGCTTAAAAAATGAAAAACAGGAAACACAAGAAATATTTATGTACCATTAAACGGGGTAGCCTGATTGGTTGTCTGATTGACTGATTGATCAGATGCTTGCCCAGCGCTTTTGGCCAATTACGTTCATGTTTTTTTTTTATGGTTTTGTTTGCAACAAATTCTAAAAGCAAAAATTTGAATAACATTTCCGATGTCGATTCGCGCATAAAAAAACAAAATTGTTAAATAATTTTAAAAAAACTGTTAATAAAAATACAACTCGAAGCGATTTTTAAAAGTTGCCTGATTCGCAGGATAATTGAAGCTTACAGATTTATCCTGAAATCCGATGCCTACGTTTCGTTTGAGGTTCGTAGGTTACATTCATTTGCAAATAAATCTCTTTTCTTTTTCTCTCTCTTCTTCTTTAGAGATAAAGTAAGTAAAATGTTCTGTATATGGACTATTCTAATTTTTCTGAAGCGCAATTAATAATCTTCCCAGAATAAGCCACGAAATCGAAACTTTAAATTAACCGTTTAAATAGTAATATTAAAAAGCTCCATCCAAGCTAAGCTTTCGAAGTAAAATGTGAAACTTTCACATAGATGGCGCCACAATGGCGGCGCTGCTCATTTCAATAGATTTTCAAATATTTGTTTAGATTTCAGCTCTGTTGTGGGATTGTTCAGTTGAGCCACAGCTAGAACACTAGGATGCCTTAGTTTTTAAATCGAACAGTTTCCATAGGAACTTTTGAATATTTGAACATTTGAAACAAATACATTATTTCTTAACACTCATACAGTTTTACACATTAAAGTACAAAAAATAAATTATTAGATTGTTTACCACCTAGATACAATTACAGCTATTCAAACACATTTTCAGTTACGTTTCGGGCATAGTCATGCAGTCCAATAAAATGGGAAACAGAGGCGAAAGGAAGCAGGAAATACCGTGCAAAGCTATGCCAATTCTTTATATAGAGCCTGACGGTGAGGGCGAATCTTCGCTTAACCCTTACGCCTTGGAGTTTATTCCTTCGTATCTAAAGGGCGGTAAAAACGATAATAATAAAAATAATAATAATAAAAGTTGCCAAAAAAAACAGTTGAAAACAGAGGCAACATCTACAACCACACTGGCTCAGCGTGAATTTGTGGGTGATGCATCCTATTTGCAGGCACAGAGGCAGCTATTCGAGCTGCTGCATCAACTGGGAGACAAGTTCATGCCACTAAAGGCGATCAAGTTGAGTCTGGCCCCGGACGGCCAGGGTATCAATGTTCAGTTTAAGGGAGAGCATGGTGTGACTGGTAAGCAGATGTTGGACGAGAGCCTTTGCCAGAACTCGGCGCTCCATTTGGAATTGAGCGACCGCTCCTTCATGCCAAGAAGACTGCCCAATGTGTTGGCCGCCAATTTTATGGTCCGCATGGGCGATGTTCTCAACGATAAGATGGAGTGGAATGAAGAGACCATGTGTTCAAACAGCCCAGCCGTCGCCCAAGAGTCAGCTAGCAAGCAGTCAATGGAGACCAAGTCTTTCATAGAGAGCAAACCCATGTCGGAGGTCAAGCGCAAGTCCTGCTCAGTTTCTGCCAGCAAGGACATTCATCATGTCCATCAAATAATTGCCACCACAGCACCAAGGGAAACATTGCCAAAGAAGCAGCAGCCAGAGCCTCTCCATCTGAATGGCGTTCGTCCCACTCTTGCCGTACCAAGCATTGTCAGCAAAGTGCACCATTGTGCCACCACTGGCAATTGGAACAGTTTGCCGACTGGCCATTCCAAAACTGAGACACGCCAAAAAACAGTGAACATTAAGCAGGAACCCAAAAAAGAGTATGTGCTCTGCGACTATATTTCTTTTAACAATTCTTTTTAAGCTCGAGGAATAGTATAATTATTATTTTAAGTATAGGATAAGGCAACACTAGTCAGGGATTCCAGCCCGGATCCTAGAAATGTAAATTTTGCACTTTTCCATATATAGAATTCGTATGTTTCTGGCATTCTAGTGAAAAAGGCTCAGATCTATAAACCCACTTTTGGTTAATTAAAACACAATCATTTTCTTTTTTTTTAATATTTTCCATATTAATATTTTATAGAAATTGATTTTCCTAATTTATTTTTCGTATATATTCAGAATGTTACATAACAATCATAAATCGCAATTTTCCTGCACTCTCAGAAAGAAATCGAATAAGGGAATCCACACGCCCCGACAAAGCCTAGGACAGATCATAAAGAAAGGCCTGACGACTGGTGCCCAGAAATTCGCACCACGGAGCACGCACACTTCCCAAATGCGCCAATCGCAGGTGCAAAAGGTAAGCCAGGTTAATATGATAAATATTGCTGCCGATAAGAGCAATCATTAATCATTCTCAATATTTGCAGCGCATGAGCCTCTTGAAAGCGAATAACAATTAGAACCTGACTGAAATTTAATATATCTATGTACAATATGTGCACATAGCCAAGGGAGACTAAGGGAACTCAGGGAACTCAGGGAACTCAGGGAACTAAGGGATCTAAGGGACCAGTAAAATAATTCTTTTAATTTTACAGAACACTCTTTGCGATGGTTAGTTCATTAAACTAATGAAGTGTCGCACGTAGAAGAAATCAATATTAATTCCAATTCTGCTTTAAATCCAAAAGGGGAAAAATAAAGGGAGAACAAATTAAAACTCATTTTGTTTAACAAATATTTTATTTAGTACGTTATTTGATTTCACTAGAAAATGCATGTAAATATATATATTCATGTTTAATTGTATCATAATTGTTTAAATACTTTGGTAAGTTCTGTTGCTTCTGGAACTTAAATCTAGGCATATCGTAAGTTTACAAATAATTGCTTTAGGTGTAAGAGCTACATAACCATCGATAATGTTGCAATTGAGAAACATGTCCAATCTAAATGTACATTTTCTTTTTTGGGAGACAATTTGATTTAGATTTAAATATTTATTTCACATGCGCACATGCTATAAATAGTTTTGCAGCTCTATTAGGTAAAGTGTTTTTCATAATTTCATTATCAAACAATTTGTAAGTTGAAGACACAAAGCTAGCAGATTTCATCTAATAAGGGACGCATTGAGTGCTAAACAGGAAGTAAGTTTAGGTATTTAAATGTATATCAGGTTTTTTTTTAGTCATGCTTCACACTGGAAATATCGTACGTGTAACAATAAATTATGAATAAAATACAAAAAAAAAAAAGGAAATAAAATAAAACTCAATAAAAATAATGTACATTCAAAATTAGGTTCTTAGATGTATATACAAATATGAATTTACTTAAAATTTAACAACAATTAAATAATCAATTCGTTATGCTAGTCGGGTTTATGAATTAACAAGTGTTTCTCGTGTGTACTGGAACTTGGTCAACTGGTCGAAAAATTAGTTACAATTTCGTTTATCGTGTGTGGATGTGTGCGTGTTCGTATATATCGTATATCGTATATATATTTTAATATAGTATATGTAGTTCTATATGCTGTATTGTTTGTGTGGGATATATATGTGGTAGTTGCTGGTTTGCATGGACTTTAATAAACGGCAAAACCAAAACCTAAAACGGAAAATAAAATTGAATTAAATGCATGAATTGGCTGGCTTTCGATAGGGTTTAAGCAATTAGTACAGCTTATTAAGTTTTGTCTTTTTTAGTATATCAATTGCTTAGTTAGATTAGTTTTGTTTAGTGATGACCAAATACCTGGGCGTTAGTCATATGAATGCGTGCGATTAGCAGTTAGATGAGAGACACAAACCAAGGTATGGGGCGAATTTCAGAGTTTACCTGCCACAACAACAACGACAACATCAAACATCAAAGGTCAAAGATCAAACATCATTACAAAGGAACGCCAAACAAGTTAAAAGCTACAATTTACGCTTCTACGTTTTTTTTTGTTTTGTTAAAACCGTTTTTAGTAGCTGTGCGTATGTGTGTATTTTGGTATTGGTATTGGTATTGGTACTGGTTGGTAATTGTTTAAACTGTTTTGGTTTTTGTTTGGTTTTGAACTTAAGCTGTACTTGAGTTATGTGAGGCCCCACTGATCGCATTGAATAAAGCCATGCTATTGCGCTGGGCGGCTGTGTCGGCATCATCGCTAAGCGGCTGGAATGACTCATCTTGGAGTAACTCACTGAGCGCCTGACACAGCTTCTCGTAGTTCTCCTTGAGCACATGATGATACTCCTTCTGATCGGCACTGATCATGCGCTCGTTCACACACAGCGCCTTGTGACAGACACCAATAAAGTCCCTGGATGAGAGAGTGTTTTTAATCAATGGTTACTTTTCATTGGGCTGTTGCCTACCGGAACACATCCTTCAGATCCTCGACACGATCCAGCGAAAAGTTGTTGATCACCTTAGCGTCCAGGAAGGCGTGCGCATAGGCCAATGGACCTGCATTCACAGTAACTGCCACGCTGCCCTGCAGGCGCAGCTGCAACTTCTTGACGTCCGCCGGGGGCAAAATAATTTCTTCCAGCTCTGAAACCTTTGATTGCATCTCGTCGATGGCCACCTCAATGGGACTCAGCTCGATAATCTCACGCGATTTGACGGGTATACGTTTGAGCACGTACGGAAACGAATATTGAGCTGCAAGCAAAAAAATGCTCAATTAGCTGATCCTCAATCTAAATACATGCTTCGTTTCGACTCACTCTTAATGACCGTTTTGCGTTTCCATTGCTCCTCAACGCTGCCACGCGCTGCGCCGGATTTGGTAAAGGGCGTTTCATACATGAATGTGTCCACATCATGATTCTGTTCGAACTCATTCAGACGCTGGTCGAGCTCGTCTTTGGTGAAGAAGGGTATCACATGGGTGACCTGTATGTAGGCTAGTTTCGCATCCAGTTCGTCAACTTTAACCTGCAAGCGATGAGAATAAAGCAGAAATGAAATCTCTAAATAATTTAAATAGTCGAGCAATAGAAACTGAAACTGTCTGTGAAAACAAGCGACAGATGGCGTTAATCACTGTCTTTACGATCTTGATAACATTGATCAAAACATATGAACAACAGATGGCGTACACAATGTTGCGGAATTTGAAAATGTTGAATAATTATTTAGTTCTGCAAAATATTAATTTATATGAAATTCCATTTCGAATTGCCAAAAACAAATGTTTTCTAGATTTTAAATAAATTTAATTTGAGTAGTTTCTAGTTTCTGTTTCTTCAGATTTCGATTACGAATCTTAATTCCACAGAGTACTACGAATTCAAGGGAACCTTTGCAAATTGTATAAAAACTATAAAATTACTCGAATAGTACTCAACGAAGTACTATTCGAAAGTAAATTTCTGGATGAAATAGAAACAAATTGAACTGTCTCGATCATAGTTGCTTAGAATGTTGGAGCTACAGAGGGCGTTTGGGCATCATAGCAGCATTTGTGTTTCGGCTTACTTCAGCATCACTATATATTCAATCATTTCAAATGTATATATCACTAAAATACCCTTGTTATAACTAAAGAGCACCGTACAAATAGTAAATTGTTTGTAGCCCAACAGAGTGCATCAGTACCAAATTACATTTACAGTTAACATTTTAGTATAGCGCTCAGTCAAGCAGTTAGCGGTTAACATGGACATTGGCAACGAGATGCACCAACAGTTCATAAAGGACTTTATCCAGTCTCTGCAGGCGGGCAGCGAGGACAGCAACAGCAACAGCAACAGCAACAGCTGCATGCAAAGCAACAGCCGGAGCCTGAGTGACTCCTCACTAAATCCCAATGCGGCCGAGTTTGTGCCTTCCTTTAAGAAGAGCAGCGATGCTGACGACGATGACGAGCCACATCAATATCAGCGGCAGGAGCAAAAGCCATCGGCCAGCTCGTCAACAACGCTGGTGGAAAACACACTGAACCGCATTCAGCGCCAGCTCTACAATTTGATGAATCAGCTGGGCAACCAGAACTTGCCGCTAACGCAAATTCTATTCACTCTGGCACCCAATGGCCAGGGCATCAATGTGCAGTTCATGGCGCTGGACAGCGTCAAGCGACAATCGTTGAATAAGCATCTTTGTAATTCGGCCGCTTTTCGCCTGGAGATCGGTGACGTCGCAGAGCAAAACAATCGACCTGGTCATTCGCTGGCTGCACAGTTCCTGAGCCGCATGGGCAATGTTCTGAACGACAAGAGTAATGACAAGTTGCCGTCGATATGTCCCAAGTGCACGTCCTTGCCGAAAAAGCGCAGCTTCACCGAGCTGGAGATAGACCGTCAGATCGAGGACATTAAGGCGTTCGAGAAGTTGATAAATGAGGATGCCGGCGCACGTTATCAGGACGCATTTAAACAGCTCTGCCAGAAACTGGGCCTTAACACAAACGGCGGCCAGGAACTCGATTTTGAGTCCACAGAAACGGCTCCGCTGGCGATCAACGAGATCAACAATGAGGAACTTGAAGACAGCGAAGTGCCATTTAATGAAGATGAGCTGTCCACCTTGGAATGGGATCCTTATATGCCGGAATTTACGACGATGAAGGTTTATCGATACCCGGCTCCGAGTGCCACCGATATGCACGTGAACGATCAAGAAGATCAGCAAAAGGTGCACCAAGAGCAGCTGTCGCTGAAAGAAGACTATGATGAGCTGGACGCGCCAACATCAACACCAGCTATGTCCACAACCACAGCACCTGTGTCCACAGTCTATCCAAAGCTCTACAAGGTTAATCAGGTAAAATGGACCAGTTCGCCGGGGCCGGGGCAGCGCAAAACCGGCACCCACAAAGAGAAAGAGAGCAAAATACAGCGATGGCGCTACAGTTCACCAGCAGCAGTAACAACAGCATCAGTAAGCACTACATCAACAACAGTAGCTGCAGCAACAACAACTGCAGCCGCCGCAACAGTAGCTCCAGCAGGAGGTGCCACAGGATCAGCGGCTAAGAAGGCGCCGGAGCGTGGCCATCTAAATGGCAATCGCATCAAGCGCGCATATCAGTGCACAATGCAGCCCAAATCTGGCAATGCCGGCAACATGCCCGAGGTGACGGCCAGTCAAATAGCCAAGCCGAGCTCCAACTACAAACTGGAGCCGCGTTCACAGATCGCCATTCCCAAGCAGCAGCTAGACCAGGTCCATGTGTAAGTGTCAATAATTCAGTTGTGCGTTTCGCCACGCTAATTAACTGTCGTCTTTCAGTAACAAACTAAATAAGGCAGCTACCTTGAGCCGCACGTCCGGCATAGGGCCAGGTCAGGGCACCAAGCATAGTCCTGCAGGAGCTCAGCGAATTGTGGCACCACGCAGCACCCATGCATCCCAGATGCGGCAGTCCGAGGTGAAGCGCGTAAGTGCATCGCATATAATCCCAAATGAATACGTATATATATGAATCCCGTTTTCAGCGCCTGAACCTGATGCGAGGTGACAACGACACCGATGTCCAGTATAATGAGTATCTGTTCAAATGAGCTAGTCGTAAAAATTGTTTCATAATTGTGTTGTTCGTAACAGCATATGTCACTTGCATAACAGTCTTCATCTTCTACTTATCAAATATGTTCCGAATCAGCAGAAGTAGCTCAATTTCTATCAACTAGTTAGTTTGTTAGTCCTGCCGAACTAGTTCTCTATATATATATAGATTCATTTATATGTATATATAAAGCACCCACTATATATTTTTTACTTAGCTGAGCTTAA